AGTGCTATCAGAGATGGGTTGCGAGTTAAGCTGAAGATTCTGCAGATATATTTGTTTAGTGAGTTATTTCAGGTAGTAAGTACTTAGTAAGTATTTAGTACCATCGTGTTTTCTTCGGTTAGATAAACAAATGTTTCTACAGCCATTTTGCTGAAAAACCTTTCGTTTCTGCAGACAAGGTTCTTGAAGATTTATCTTCTGTAACGTCCAGAAAATCGTGCTTATAGTGAGTCGAATGGTTGGAGATAGATCTACGTGTTGCCGAAGACTTTTTCCGAATACAAACAAAAGAAACGTTAATTTGTGAATTGGAAGGACGGGGATGTAAATTACGATAGCTCTTTATCCCGAGCGGCAATGCAATCACTACAGATTTTAGGACACTAGAACGCGTTTCCGGGATTAAGAGAAAACGCAGCCAAATGACATTACCAAAGTGTATTCACTGTAATTCCCCTGTAGAAACGCATACGTCCCTAAAATAAGTTTTGGGACTACTCTTTACTTTCCCCCCTATGTCACATACTGATTTCACTGTTGTTGTTTTTTTTTTTTTTACTGAATTAATCCACTTGTGTAGGTGGAGGGATAACGTATAGAAAGAGTTATCTTACTCCCTTGATATTTTCTCCTTATTCCCGTTAGTGCCCAGCGTTACCATCTGGTAACGAAAATTTCGTTTCGTTTTCAGTTTCAATGACTGCAATAATTTGCGAATTTCATTTCTTCAATAGAGGTAGACATCCTAAAAGAAACATATAAGCACATCTTGAATGCTAGATGTCGATTTAAACATGATCGCTAAGGCATTGTACTCTCCTGGCCAGGGTGTACACATAACTTGCGTTTCTATCTACATCTAAAACAGTTTTTAGCTGCTATATGCCTATGGTTAAGTCGGAGGGAGAGGTTGGTGTAAGCAAACTTCTTCGGGGAATTTCGCCCTGAGGAAGGTCGCAGAATGGTGGACCAAACTTGACATTTGTGCCTTAAACGCGGCGTGGCCCGGACAGCCAAGCTGCCTATGAGAGACGGTTTTCACGTGAATGGGATCGCTGCACTGAATGATCAGCAAAACGGTTCATTATATTGTTGGATCGGAATATCAAGTTTTTACACACAATGTATAGACACAACATTCTATAGCTGTCAAGACCAAAGAAAATTTCAGTAAAAAATCAAATTCCTCTTCATTTCTGTTAGGTTTCTCAAAACTAAGAGATATGGTGATTTAAAATTATTCTCAATGTTATTCAAGACAATTTATCCATTCAGAATCAGTGAAAGACCAATGATAACATTTTACATCAAATGTATAAAATGTTGATTGATTTTAATCTTAACAGGACAAAGCAAAAGTGGACATAACAGGAGTTTTATGTCGAAAAATCGCCTTTCTCGTATTCTACGAATATTATTCTGTATATGAGTACGTATTTAGGAAAAGAAAAAAAATACTTTATCAAAACAGTCTTCACGCATGCCATTGTAAAGAATACAAAAGTTCTTTACATTCTTAGAATTTCAAAAAGTTGCTGTTCCATAACGGCACACGTAAGTAGAAAATATTTATTGGCGGGTAGCCTCTTCCTTGGAAACTTGCTGTCAAACAACGTCAGCTGAGACGTGAGTCTCAGTGACGCACTAAATTCAGTCGGTTCGCGCAGTATGCCAATAGGTGGAATAATCAAATATTTGCTTTTTTAGACAAAATCGAAACTGTTTCATTGTTTTTGTATGTTAGAATTTTGATTAAATGAATTTTGCATCAAACAATTAATATTTTTGGAGATTATGACATTCGTTTAAAAGTCCATGCTTTTGTACTAATTACAATTGTTTTTCCAAAGTTTATCAGACATTAAAAAATATTTTCGAAGATGTGTCATTGTTTTCGGTCTTTCCTTGTTCGTTCTGTCAGTATTTTCTACAGGTTCCAAAACCTGAAGTTTACATTCTTGTAGAAACACTATTTGTAAGAGCGGTATATTTTTTGAAAAACAATATTAGCTCCAATATTTTTCAGACATTCAGAATCAGTGAAAGACCAATGATTTTCTCTAACCTAATCTCTTCAATAATTTTCTCTAATATATATCGTTTTCATTGTTCTACAAAAAAAACTGTAAATACCAACACGCGCGAGAGGTTTCATAAAGTACATGGCTTTGGGAGAGAAACGTCATTATTGAGTACTGATAACTACGAGAGGAAAATGCTAAATATCGTGTTTACTCGTTCTTAATTAACAGAATTTTTAGCGTTGTATTTCGCAACTAATTTTTTCATATGAGAGCCTCTCGCCCACACTCCCCAAAAAATCGGTAATAATATGAATTCAGAATTTGTAGCGTATAAAATTACATCAATATCGATTGTAAACCTGATTTCTACAAATATTTGGTCAGTTTGAAAATAATATTCCACGCCTCTGTAAGCGTTAGTAAATGTGAACCGAGAAAATGATAAATTCAAAAATTGTATTCAAAAATCGTAAGATCTCAAACAGCCGATGATATACGAATCTTTTACATATTGTTGGTGAAATGTTGTCAATAAGATTCTGCATCCCTCGTGTGACAAATGGATATTCCAGAGTGTCGTTCATGAGCTGCAATTCCGAAATGACTCGAAAAATATAACTTCGGGTTATTGCCGTTATTTTATACTATTACAATCAACCCCTATGCAGCATTTCTGTAAATGTTAGAACTACCTAATCCATCAATTAGTAAGCATGAGATGCTTGCATTCCTTAGCCCACGAAAACTTTAAACATGTTTGCCTCAAAACTTTATTTTTCGTGTCGTGCAGCCCATGAACGAACTGTAAAAACAACTTCATTTTATAAGCACTGATCACACCCCGTTGAGACTTCACTTAGCAATGGAAATCAAACATCGATTGAATTTGTGAGCATCTTCAAGACCTCAGTATTGCAATGGTCACTTTTTATCCGCTGGTTTACTTTCATTAAAATATTTTTCAGGACTCACGCATAAAAATACTTATCTTTATTGTTCATTGATTGGAAAATATTACTTTGCGATTCACGTAAGGCAAAGTTAACTTTGTGCCTCTGAATGAGCTGGTAAGAGTGGTGTTTCTGCAAAACTGCAAATTTTCCCTTGTGTCAACGCAAAGGTCACTTTACATTTCAACCGCAAAACAGATATCGTGACTATAAGCGCGAGAGAGAACTTTCAAAGCAACACGTAGGCGATATTAATGATTAAAAGGATAGTGCTAAGAACTTAGCTAGCAACGCGCCATAATTGCACATTGTGAAACATTCTTAACGAAATTCATATTGATGAGACACTTCTGAAGTTATGCTTAGACGCATTTTAAGTGTTGTAAATTCGTAGTCAGCTTTCCCACACAAATCATTGGATAGTACACACGTTCATAGTTAATTGTGTCAATCTCAGAATGCAATTTCGTGATCGTGTATGTCATGCAACACGTTCTGTAAGGAATTGCTCTCAAAGATGGTTCATCTATGAAGTTTCGTTTTAGTACGGGTAAATGCTTCTACTTTAATGCAAAATAACTCTTTTTTCGAAATTCCGCATTATCTTTCAAAAATCCTGAAATGATAGAAAAGCATTCACATTATATTAAAAAAACAATGCTTCGTGTCAGAACGCTGGCTTTAATTATGCGGAACCTTTAGATAGTGTCATTGCCGAGATGTTCTTGGTTGTTTATTGCAGATGTGCAATTATGGGAAGCCGCTCACTTGCTTTTTTCTACATTTTATGTTCCTAATAACAACAATAATCTAGTCAGACCAAACTGCCGTTTCCTCTAGATCACAAATAATTTGTCAGAAATCTCAATCACAACACGCCAGACGGAGAGTTTCCAAGTTTCAGATTTTTTTTTCTTGTGAATATGCTGTCAGCGTCAGCACGTTCTGGTGTTGACAGGGACTATTGGAAGCCTCAGGCTGACACCATCTTCCTTCACATTCGTGGGTGTGCGCTTGCTTCTGTAAGTTCATCGCGATCATGCAATTTCTTGTACATTCTTTGCATCAAGTATCTTAAATAGCTATTTAAAACACAAAATTGCTGTTCTTTTCTTCCTATTTACAAATGAGATGCAACAATAGGAGGTTAGAGACAAGCACAGTTATTAACATTTTGTAGTATATAGGCACTAATAAAATTCATTTACAGATATCTTGAATTATCAGTCTCCAATAAGCTCGAAATCTGGTTGAAATCTCCATTTTGAATTCTTTTAAACAAGGTTCACCTCAGGAAAACGAGGTTTTTTCAATACATAAACACTGACCTGTTCATAGTTTTTAATACAAAAACATTGGAGGTAACATTGAAGGTAACTATGGTGGTAATATTAGAAATAATTATGAACGTGTGTACTACCCAAAGATTCGCATGGAAATGCTGACCACGAATTCGCAACACCAACCATGCAGGCAACATTTCTGTTACGTATTGATACGTATTATTTTCTGAGTTTTACCCGCAAAAGCAGAATATGTAATTTGCTACTCGTATTTTCTACTGCATTTCATTGTCTACACAAAATTACAAAACTCAAGAGATTTAGAATGGAGATGAGTACTGATCCAGTGTCAATGCATAATATAACACAAATACCTCTCATATTTTGTTTGAACATCTCTTTAATTAGTGATGGGGTACAAATGAAATTCAATTTGCGAAAAAAGATGATTATATCTCGTATATGGAATTGTTTAGAAATGTAACGTTGAACATGTCCCCTCGCTCACGCTCACCTACTGCATGTACATATGTGTGACATTCACAGGAAGAAAAAAAGGAAAGAAAATAATTATGGGACCTAAACGTACAAATTGAATTTTCATAGGTTTTAAAAAGCAATGTTATATTTAAAAACGGAAATTACGCTTCAAAAACATTTTCTCAACGACGTAATATAAACCAAAAATATAAACGAGTTTCAATTTATTCATTGAAAAGAAATAAAATGTTCACTAAAAGGCATCAACGAATGCTATTGCCCGTCCTGGAAGAGACTCGTACAACATTTCTTTCAGCAAATAATTCTTGTAGTGAATATGATACAAGCAAAACATAAGATAATAAATATGATGCATTTGTGCAGCTGTTCTCAAATCTGAACGATCAAAAAATATCACGAAAAAACTTTAAACCAAGTAAAAAGAAATGAACTGGGTAACGCAAACATTAGATCTTGATAAACAGAAAAATTAACTTCATTCTGAAAAGCGTTATCGAAATGACACCACTCAGAGTTTTCTCAACGTGAAAGTTGGAGAAGTGCGCGACTGGTCACACACCCCGAGACGAACGCACATGGAGAAGCGCTGCACTTGACAAACTACAAAGTCGCGCACGCCCTCCCCCATCCGTCGCATCGCGGTGCGGGTCTCACCTTGATCTCGTCGTCGGGCGACTCCTTCTTGATGGCAAGCAGGCGCGGAGCGTGCGCCGGTGGCGGGGCGGGCGCGGCCGCGCGCGGCAGCGGCGGCCGTCTGGCGGCGTGGACCGGCCTTGCCCATCACGACGCGACATCCGCGGAGGCCGTCGCTCTGGTCCGAGCACGGCGTCGGGGCAGCGCAGCTGGCGGGCGCCGCATGGGCGCGCTCGAGCGAGGGCAGGCGCGAGCGGCGGCGCGTGCCGGGACGCTGGCATGCCCCGGCGAGCACTCGAGCGCGCTCGCGCGCTTCTCAAGCCGCCGGCGCTGCCGCAGAGCGCGCCGTGGCACGGTGGCGTGGCGGGAGGCGAGGCGGCTGGACGCCGCGCGCTCGCCCCACCCACCTTCCCACCCCCCGCACGGGAACCTGCTCGCGAGTGACGGGTCAAGGAATCACCAATGGAATGGGTAGAATGTGCCAACACATTCACACTGATTCTTGCAAGTGGAAGTTGCTTCCAAAGCCTGGATATTAGCAAGCATAATTTCGGAGTAAAATTGTAATGGAATTGACACGTTCAAAGCCAATGTTTGTTATTTGCAAATAATAAATCATAAAGATTTTTTTCTTTTCAGGAATGAAAAAAACAAATTGTTTGAGTTTATTTCATAAAATCTGATTACGAAGCGGTGAGAAGTATGTGTTGATCCTGTCTAGTTTTTACATTTTGCAGTGTACTTAATACAAAGTCAGCGTTGATAAATTAAGAGAAATGACACATTATCAGTGCTCTTGAAAAGTGGCAATCTAAAAAATTGTCAGTTGGTAGGAGAACGGTTTAACGTTTCAGTGCCATAAACAAAAAGGTTCATTTTATGTATAAGTTGTCTTATTATATTATTAAAATTATTATTATGAAATTCTTAATTATAAAATATGTTATTCTTCGAGAATGTACTTCTTTAGTTAACTAAAAGAAATACTTTTGCAGATGTGAGATTATCTCGTTGAGCAATGTCGTGAAGATTTTTATTAATTATAGAAAAACATTTCATATTTTCATGAATTTCAAACTTAATGGTGAAGAGAAGCTGAATTGAAAATTGCAGTATTGTTGGTCATTTCTTCGAACACGGGGGTACTTACCTTCCAGGATATTTAACAGTACGTGCTTTTTTCAACGTCTCGAATGTACCCTACCCAGGGCTGTAAGCATCAGCGAAGTATCGATCTATTAGATTATTGCGATCAAGTATATTAAAAACTTGCTTTTTTTTCTTCAGATTTACCTTAGAATTATCAGACAAAATACTAAAACTAGTGCTACATCACATATTTTCGTGCATTATTTGTAAGTTTTGCGATCTTGAAAATTCAGAGATTTCGGAGGTTTAAGCATTCTTATTATGAGCGGAACCTGTTCATGTACAACTACAAATACTACAAAGGTTGCCTTTTATGTTTCGGGATTTGGCAACCCTGGTGATGCAATCTGGCAACTGACAGCTCTATCGTAAAGTTGGATGTTTTGAGGTTACATGTACTCAGAAAGTTTTGAGCGCTATTTGTGTTGTTTACAGTAACTTAAAAGATTCATCTTGCCCAAAAATGGAATTAAATTGTGACATTTTCTTGCGATTATTTTTTACAACTTTCGACGTGGATTAACTCAGCAACACTGCATGGATGAACTTAATTCAATTTTTGGCGATGAAGTTCCATCAAGGACCAGTGTTTATCGATGGTGTGGTGAATTCAATCGTGATCGTAGTGCACTCCAAGATGAATTTCGCAAAGGTCGTCCAAAATCAGTTGTTGATCCGAAAAACATTGATGCTGTGCGTGAACTGATATTACAAGATCGTCATGAGACCTATCGTGCATTAGTGGGACCAGCTTACATTCAATATTGCATGAACATTTGACTGCCAAAAAACATTTGCTCGCACACAATTCACACATCCCACACAATTTGTCAATCGCTCAAAAAAAAAAGTCTCGTGTCGATTGGTCAAAAGTAATGCCCAAATATACGATCGCGGTGCTTCGAAACGCGTCAATAACATCGTGACAGGTGATGAATCGTGGATTTACGCGTATGAGACCGAAAGTAAACAGCAGTCGACTGTATGGGTGTTTCAAGATGAGCAAAATCCAACAAGAGTTGTTGGTGCACGAAGCACTTTTAAACAGATGATCGCCTGTTTTTTCGAAAAACTGGACATGTCGTTCCACTAGAACAACGCAGAACAGTCAATTCTGAGTAGTACAAAACGATTTGTTTTCCAGCTGTCTTCCAAGAAATCAGGAAAACCAACCGCCGAAGACGGATCTCTCTTCACCACGACAATGCAAGCTCTCGCACATCGGCTCAAACAACTGCATTTTTGAGCACCCAAAACATCGATTTGATGAGTCATCCGCCGTATAGTTTTGATTTGGCACCGAATGACTTAAAAAAAACTGAGAGGTCAACGTTTTTGAACACCTGAAGCAGCGGTTGCTGCATTTCGAATGCATGTTTTGGAGATACCTCAATCAGAGTGGCAAACGTGCTTCAACAATTGGTTCAAATGCATGCAAAAGTGTATAGATCTTCATGGAGAATATTTTGAAAAACAATAAAGTGATTTTTGATCATTAATATTTGTTTTTGTTCTCTAATTCTGAAATATCAAAGGCAACCCTACTATCCCCCTCCATTAAGCATTACCAGCTTCATAACAAGTGAAAGAGCGGCAAAGCTCGTAGGGATGACAATGCATTAAGTAAACAAAATAACACGGGTTTGGATCTACACTGCGGTGTTGGTTTATGCATATTCATTTCAGAAGAATCACATTCTCGATTGCCACGTTTCTAGAATAGTGCTACCAGGTTTTATCCACATACTATTTAGAATATTCCAATCTATAATTGAATTGTATCAGAATTATTAGATTCTCTATTATCTACAACTTCTATTTTATCAAAAGGAATAAAAAGCCTACAAAAACTCATCGAGATCTTATTATAATAACCATCTCCCTTACGGGAGGTGACTTGTCATGGACAATACGAATATGTTTTCAACTGATTTTCAAACTTTTGCTCAATACGTTCACATTCAAACAAATCCAGTTCAAAATATGGAGTATTCAATCTTGCAACCACCAAATTATCAACAAACGTCTTTTCCAGCTACTTCAAGATCAGTAAGTTTTCGAGAAACATCGGCAAACCTAGTGACAAACTATCATAGAAGACCTCACTAACAACTTTTGTCGTCTCTATCCCTCCCATGCTTCTAAAAACCTTTCCAAACGATCAAAATCATCTACACTAGGGTGTCCCTTATTTTCCGAATTTAAAATTTTGGAGCGCTCACCCTCCAATTTTGTTCGAATGACCTTAAAACATGCCTATACTAAATTTAGTTGAGATCGTAAATTTAACACGTGCCGACTTGAGCGCAACCTCGCATGACGAACGAGTCGAGACTATAATCACCGCTGAATCAATCCCAATCCAAACAGTACGTGAATTTTAAACGATCGTGACACACTTGTTTGCAGGTCGCTAATCTAACATAATGACATGTTTTAGTGTCACATTCAGAGCCGAGAAACGTATGTTTTAATAGGAAATAATATTCATTGTGAATATAAACATCGGTGAATTTTTAGGAGAGACTTCCGAGAGTAGGGAGGGTGGTGTATCTTTGACCACTTTTCATACTTTAATTTTCCCCTTCAGTTTTATTTTTATTAACTTGTTTAAGGTTTTAAAATAAGCACCAAAATGTTGTCTATAAATTGTATAAAAATGTTGTACACTTGACCAATTGTTTTATTTTCAAAAATTAGTTTTAAACATTGTTGAAATTAATTTTTGAAAGAAAAAGTGGTCAAAGGCACAACATTACGTTGTATCGTTGACCAGTGGTAGTTGTACCTTTGACCACTTCCCACAAATTTTAATAATCTGTTAACCAGAACTTGTTTGATTAACTTAACTTTTTTTTTACTTTCTCGTATACGTTAAGTCCCCCCACAAGAACTGGCGGGTAAAATTCTATCTTCCCAACCGTCCCGACAAATTTGGAAACCCTTTGATAAGGGAGGAGCGCGTTGACCAATCGATACAGTCAAAATCTTAGTGCCTATGCAATTGGCGCACACTCCCTTTAGGCTGTTCCCGGCCTTGATTGTTTACCTATGAGACAGAAATACCGTCACTTTCCCTGCCGAAGAAGAGGTTTTGCCTACGCGGACGCCATAACGAATTAATATTTCTCAGCGGAGGTTTTCCGTCCAGAATTAGTCAATAGTCCAGTAAATATTTAGTATTTCAGCAACAATTATACTATCTTTCAGCAATAAATTTGTAACTCTGTGAAACTGTTAAATTAAAATGTTCATCTCAGGCATACTTTCCGGATCCTTTCCGGCCGTTCAAGCACATATTTCGAGTTTGTTTACAAAAGTGTATATTGTTGCAACATTGTTAATTCGCTGTTTTCGGCTCTGAGACATCGGGAGACTCTCCCCTCTTTATATCTGTAAAAGTTGGAAATAGTTTATAAATTTTCAAATGATGCATATTTGTTTTATTACCTTATCTAAATTCCCTTTAAATGTAATACAAACTTCATTAGATGTCAGTTCAATATTCACCAATATTCCTGTGCTGGCTATGGATATTATTGCCAATAACTGGGACAAACTCAGGAACATAACTAATATCAAACTTAGTAAAGTAGATTTTTTCAACTGTTTATTTTATGTTGTCAGGAAGGGTACCTTGTATATAAGATTGTACATTACAGAATGACGGATGGTGTGGCCATGTGTTCCCCGCTAGTCCCCATTGTAGCTGATTTAGTCACGAACTCTCTCACAGATGACATGGAACTGCTACCTTACAAATCCACTTTCATTTACAAATAAGTTGACCATTTAGTTTTGTCTATACCAATGAGAATGGAACAGACCACAATAGACAGGTTTAACAAATTCCACCATAAACTCCAGTTCACAATTGAAATGGAAAAAGACCATAGAATACCCTTTTTAGATATGTTGTTGATTAGGAATTCTGATGGATCCATTAAGTTGATGGAAATCCCATAAGACTGACATAAACCTTAATTTTAAATCTGCTCACAAACTTACTTATAAAATTAATGTGGCCTTAGCTCTCAAACATAGAGCAATGCAGCTTAGTGACCCTGTTTCCACCGAAAAAACTTTAAAACTGTCAACTGCGGACAGTTTTCCATGAACTTGTTTTAGAACT